ACACTTTACGATTACTGGTAATTTTGCCGTATTGCCAATATAATATTTTACCTCTAGTTTACTTAGAGTAAGCCATAACAATTATCTCTTCAGATGACCATGGTTGGGACCTTTCAATCAGGAAGGAAAGGGTTTCCAAAAGAGCTCAAAGTCCCCGGAGCACCTTATTCCTCAACGGTGTTTTATGAGAAAGGAGGCCCTATTAGCCTTACCCAGTACAGCGTGAAGAGTAAGAGCAGGGGGAAGGTAAGATCACACTGATAATGCAAAGATAAACAATCTAATAGTCGTTTAATTAAGTTAATCTTCACGTTATATTTTGATGAAACAATGAAAACTATTTTTAGATCAGTGTCGTTGTAATGACTACTCGAAAACCTATAGAGGGTGTCACCAAAGACGAAATTCGGAAGCCTGCAATCTTCAAGCTGTACGATTTCACAAAAGTCGGCACAGATAGCATGGACAGCAGGTAAAAATCAGTATTTTCATATCATTAAATCCAGTGATCCTAAGAAGCGAAAAAAAAAGATTCAAGATATATAATCCATTCATAATCTGATCAGAATCATTACAAGTCTGATTGAACCCTCTTTATACGACATACGGAGCTATTACTATTAGTGTAACAGTATAACATAATTCAGGTTTAGCTCTGGCACATATTCCAGCAAACCGAAGTGTCGTCGCTGGTCAGTTGCAGTGTTTAGCTACATCATGGACACCACCAGGGTTAACATCCAGACCCTGATAGCTCTAAACACTGGCAAGAATCCCCGAAAGGTGAAATCTTTCGATTTTGGGCAAAGATTAGCAATGGATTTGCTGACCCCACATCATTATATACGAGGGAGCTGACTGGGGTACCTCGAATCATCATCCTGAAGACGTACTAGCTACGGGAGATGAATGCTTCCTACGCCATGTGATGAAGATTGGAGACCCGACACAATAGCTGTGGTAAAAAACTACCTTACAGAAACAAGCCCTTGAAAACTGGTCGAAGGTGCGGCGACTGTAAGCGAGACATTTGCTTGAAAAGCATTTCTAGTGGGGCAAAGAGAACCCAGATAAACGGGCTCTCTAAGCCCACAACAAGGTGCGAGAAATGTGGACTAGCCAAATGTAACAAGAAGCATTTGATGAAAGTGTGTGCTTCTTGTTTACAGGAATGTGGCCAATGAACGCATCGTATTCGCATGCCTATTGCCTAATATGATATCTTAGCAGCATGTTTATTTTAATCGATGGTTATCCTACTATCAGTTGTACAATGTACTTGTTCATTGATTATTTATGGTATATTATAATTTATTACCTTGTAACATTAACATTATTTTATCACAACTTAACAGTACTTACATTGAGCACTATTACCGTTTACAATTATATACATTAGATACTCTCACTTTACTCAATACTTTCATTTCGTGTTTTACTTATATGTCATATTCCCTTGAACTGGTCATTCTCAAAGGTGCAGGATAGAGAGGGAAGGGACACGATCCAGTGTGTCTATCAAAATGTAAAATTGAATCAGTTACACTAAAAGGCAATTTTGTTACTATTACTCAGAAATTGGAATGTTGGCTGGATTGGATCATCAAATTAGAGTCATGATTGGGGAGTCGGGACCCTGAACCCGCTCTGACTGGAATCTAATTAGGACAGATTCCAAGCAAATTTGTTAGCAATCCTATACTGTAACTGATGCCTCACGTAATTGTAATTAAATAAATTCGCTGCACTCCTACTAACCATGGGGGATCTTAATTAATGGGGAAATGGTTCTGTTACAGATGGTATTACAAAAATTACATGATCATGCATCGGCCAAGAAGTGAATATCAGCGATATAAATTTTGGAAACGAGAACCGTTTAGAAATTGTAGGACACAATAGGCTACTCCATACTTACGCTAGTCCATATACTGGAGCCATTAGGAGAGAAGAGTGACTGGTCAGGTGATCTCACGAGGTAATGCTGCTATATAAACAGGAGAGCAGAGGAGAGAAGCACAGTTTATTGCAAACACGCAAACTTCACTTCCTCTTGTTGATCTTGATCTAACGTTTATCTAACCATGGATGATGAATCCTCATCCATTGAATCCTCATCCATTGAGGATTCTCAGGATGTAGCTGCCCTGGTTTTGGACAATGGGTCTGGTATGGTAAAGGCTGGCTTTGCCGGAGATGATGCTCCCCGATCTGTCTTTCCTTCCATTGTTGGACGACCCGGCATGGCACAGAAAGACTTCTACGTCGGACACGAAGCCCAGAGCAGGAGAGATATCCTCAGCCTGAAGTACCCCATCGAGAATGGAATTGTCACCAACTGGGATGATATGGAGAAGATCTGGCATTACATCTTCTACAACGAGCTGAGAGTTGCCCCAGAGGACGACCCCGTCCTGCTGACTGAAGCTCCCATGAACCCCAAAGCCAACAGAGAGAAGATGACCGAGATCATGTTCGAGACCTTCAACACACCCGCCATGTACGTTGCTATCCAGGCTGTCCTGTCCCTGTACGCTTCTGGCCGAACCACTGGTGTCGTCCTGGATTCTGGATATGGTGTCTCTCACACAGTCCCTATCTATGAAGGTAATGCCCTCCCCCACGCTATCCTCCGTATTGATCTTGCTGGACGTGATCTTACCGAATATCTCATTAAGATCCTGACCGAGAGAGGTTATGGTTTAACCGCCCCCGACGAGAGGGAAATCGTCATTGATGTGAAGGAGAAGCTTTGCTACGTCGCCATGGACTTTGAGCAGGAGACGCAGACTGCTGCCAGCTCCAGCTCTCTCAGGAAGTCCTACGAACTTCCTGACGGAAATGTCATCACTATTGGAAACACTCGATTCAGGTGCCCAGAGGCCCTCTTCCAGCCTTCAGTGCTCGGTATGGAGTCTGACGGTATAGACGTGACTTGCTACAACTCTATCATGAAGTGCGATGTTGACATCAGGAAGGATTTGTACGCCAACATTGTCCTCTCCGGAGGAAGCACCATGTTCCCAGGAATCGCTGACAGGATGGAGAAGGAAATCACCGCCCTGGCTCCACCCACCATGAAGATCAAAATCATTGCACCTCCAGAGAGAGAATACTCCGTCTGGAATGGAGGATCTATCCTTGCTTCTATGTCCACCTTCCAGCAGATGTGGATCTCCGAGGCGGATTATGACGAATCTGGACCCGGGATTGTCCACAGGGAAGGCCGACTTCCATGCCCCCATTATTAGGGGTCCCTAATTAGTGACGTATAATTAGTAATGATATCCATCAGTAGAATTTAACTGACCTAGAAATGGGCAAGATACAGGGTAGAGCTCACATGTCATCTCTGTACACCATAGCTGTGCATTAAGAAGTAAACATGATCTTTAAGATTTAACCGCTCGACAGTCGACTCGTATATCACATAAGGGACGGGAGCTCTTGCTTAAGGGGGTTTCTCGTATTTAGGGATGTGAGACGTACGTGCCAAAGGCAAGTCATTACTGACTTTCATATCGACAGGTTGAGTGTTGGTAAGACATCCGCTAAGAGGTGAAGGACTAGCCATACCCGACTCCACGTTTAAATCAAAAGTAAGGGCTAGGAGTAAATCTGGGATAGATATAGGTTAGAGTTCACATGTTCTGTAAATCATAACTGGTGGTTCACATCACTAATTATAGGTCACATCACTAATTATAGGTCACATCACTAATTAGACGTCACATCACTAATTAGACGTCACATCACTAATTATACGTCACATCACTAATTATAGGTCACATCACTAATTAGACGTCGCATCACTAATTAGACGTCACATCACTAATTAGACGTCACATCACTAATTAGACGTCACATGATCTGACCCCTAAAAATAGGGGGCCTGTTCAAGATTTATTGGACCGTAGTTGGACAGTTTTATGCTTTTGGAGTGGATGTTTTATTTCTGAGTCTTACATGATTTTTTGCAACTTTTACCACTTTTTACCACCTCTCTTTTTTTCGAATATCTTTAGTTTTGAACATCGTAAAAGGTTGCAGATTAAAGGCAACATGAGTAATCAAATTGCATGAAACGTGGAGAAAAATGCTTTTCAAAGAAAATCCGTCAATTTTTCGTTTCATAAATACTAAAATCGCCAATGTTTGTAGTTGGAGTTAAGTAAATCTCAGCAGATTTAATAATCAGGAATTACTTAAGTGGAAAGGTCTGAAACTGAAAAACGTTAACCACACGATATTAGAGCCTTATCGATTTTCACAGAAACTGCACCAAAGGCACATTCAAGATCGAACCGATACTGCGATAGCCTGCTGTACTATCATTTTATGGATTTCCATGATTAAACAGTGGGGTTAAGATATATTCACATTTGTAATAAATAAAACCTCTCTGTACCGTCAATCATGCTTATCCAAACCGTTGCTGGTTTGTATTTTTGCAGCATGTTTTTACGTACAGTTTTGCTTTTTTGGTTGATCATACAGGACTGAGCAGTCCTCGTGAGCCTACATAGCATCTTTTGGACATATTACCTGATTTATATTCACATTTATCGTTAATTAGTTATGTAGATGTAAGGATTTGACAGCATCAGCCGAGATGCAGTACGACAGTTATAATTAAACCGAGTGGAATAGAGGAAGTGGAACCTGTTATGCCACTCAAACAACTAGGGAATACTTCTTCGTGAATGTTTTTGGAGGAATATCACGTGATCGTGCTTGTATCCAATGTGAGAGCGAGCAGCGGTCATGTGGGTGTCATGTGCCACAACACAGATATATCCGTGTTTACATGACTTACTTAATTGAACTTACATGTACGTCTTACATGTAAAAGTGCATAAAATGGACCTTTCCCTGGGATTGCGAGCAGCTGCGACCATGTGACATTAAGAGAGCCATTAGGAGAGAAGACTGACTGGTCAGGTGATCTCACGAGGTAATGCTGCTATATAATCAGAAGAGCAGAGGAGAGAAGCACAGTTTATAGCAAACACACAAATTTCAATTCCTCTGGTTGATCTTGATCCAACACTTATCTAACCATGGATGATGTCGATGATTTCATGGATGAGGATTCTCAGGATGTAGCTGCCCTGGTCGTGGACAATGGGTCTGGTATGGTGAAGGCCGGCTTTGCCGGAGATGACGCTCCCCGAGCTGTCTTTCCTTCCATTGTTGGACGACCCAAACATCAAGGTGTCATGGTCGGCATGGGACAAAAAGACTCCTACGTCGGAGACGAAGTCCAAAGCAAGAGAGGTATCCTCAGGCTGAAGTACCCCATCGAGCATGGAATTGTCACCAACTGGGATGATATGGAGAAGATCTGGCATCACACCTTCTACAACGAGCTGAGAGTTGCCCCAGAGGACCACCCCATCCTGCTGACTGAAGCTCCCATGAACCCCAAAGCCAACAGAGAGAAGATGACCCAGATCATGTTTGAGACCTTCAACACACCCGCCATGTACGTCGCTGTCCAGGCTGTCCTGTCCCTGTTCGCTTCTGGCCGAAGCACTGGTGTCGTCCTGGATTCTGGAGATGGTGTCTCTCACACAGTCCCTATCTATGAAGGTAATGCCCTCCCCCACGCCATCCTCCGTATTGATCTTGCTGGACGTGATCTTACCGGATATCTTATAAAGATCCTGACCGAGAGAGGTTATGCTTTTACCGCCCCCGTCGAGAGGGAAATCGTCATTGATGTGAAGGAGAAGCTTTGCTACGTCGCCATGGACTTTGAGCAGGAGATGCAGATTGCTGCCAGCTCCAGCTCTCTCAGGAAGTCCTACGAACTTCCTGACGGAAATGTCATCACTATTGGAAACACTCGATTCAGGTGCCCAGAGGCCCTCTTCCAGCCTTCAGTGCTCGGTATGGAGTCTGACGGTATAGACGTGACTTGCTACAACTCTATCATGAAGTGCGATGTTGACATCAGGAAGGATTTGTACGCCAACATTGTTCTCTCCGGAGGAAGCACCATGTTCCCAGGAATCGCTGACAGGATGGAGAAGGAAATCACCGCCCTGGCTCCACCCACCATGAAGATCAAGACCATTGCTCCTCTAGATAGAAAACACTCCGTCTGGATTGGAGGATCTATCCTTGCTTCTATGTCCACCTTCCAGCAGATGTGGATCTCCAAGGAGGAGTATGAAGAATCTGGACCCGGGATTGTCCACAGGAAATGCACCTAAGTCTAAGGACAGGCCGAATGATTTATTGCACTGCAGTTGGACAGTTTTAGGTTTTTGGATTGGATGTTTTATTTCTTACATGATTTTTTTCTATCTATTTTGTAATTTTAACGATTGTTGCTAAATGTACTTGCAATGAATGGGTATCTTATTTATTATTGGAATAGCGTTATCACCCTGACAATTGACAGGTCGTGCAGCCGTCCACAGGACAGACCGAATGATTTATTGGACCGTAGTTGGACATTTTAGGCTTTTGGACTTTGGAGTGGATGTTTTATTTCTGAGTCTTACATGATTTTTTCCATCTGTTTTGTCATTTTAACGATTGTTGCTAAATGTACTTGCAATAAATGGGTAAACACTTTTTTATTTTATTTTATTTCTATCGATCGAAACTGATCAGCAAACTACATAATCTAATTATCTTATTCATATTGGAATAGCGTTATCGCCTGACAATTGACAATTGACATGGCACAACTGCACGTGGTTAATTAATAATTATATGAAATTATCTTGAAATCACTGGGTTCAGATCTCGTTGTAGAATTGCTTTATTAAAAGGAGTACGGACAGATCTGTCTAAAAAAAGGAGTACAGACAGATCTGTCTAAAAAAATCGATCTACCGACACAAGAAGCTTCCGTCCCATTAGGTGCCTTTTCCACGTGTCTTAAGGTCACTTTTTGCCACTTTTACCACTTTTTACCACCTCTCTTGTTTTTCGACTATCTTTAGTTGTGAACATCGTAAAAGGTTGCGGATTAATCGAGGGTGTTCATTTTAAATTTCGAAAATTCTACATATTTTTTAATACTAAAATCGCCAATGTTTGTAGTTGGAGTTCAGTAAATCTCGGCAGATTTTAGTAATCAGGAATTACTAAAGTGGATTGGTCTGAAACTGAAAAACCTTAACCACACGATATTAGGGCCTTATCGATTTTCATAGAAACTGCACCAAAGGCACATTCAAAATCGAACCGATACTGTGATAGCCTGCTGTACTTTCATTTTATGGATTTCCACAATTAATCAGTGGGGTTAAGATATATTCACATTTGTAATAAATAAAACCTCTCTGTACCGTCAATCGTGCTAATCTAAACCGTTGCTGGTTTGTATTTTTGCAGCATGATTTTACGTACAGTTTTTCTTTTTTGGTTGATCATACAGGACTGAGCAGTCCTCGGGAGCCTACATAGCATCTTTTGGATTCACATAGCCATGTTTATTGTGTATAGTTATACGCGTACTGCGGTCGCGCGCTACTGCAAGCGAGAGGGCTCTGGTTAGAGCAATCTTTTGGACATATATAACCTGATTTATATTCACATTTATCGTTAATTAGTTATGTAGATGTAAGGATTTGACAGCCCGAGATGCAGTACGACAGTTATAATTAAACCGAGTGGAATGAAGGAAGTGGAACCTGTTACGTCGTACAAGAGATGTGTGTGATGCCACTCAAACAACTAGGGGATACTTCTTCGTGAATGTTTTTGGAGGAATATCACGTGATCGTGCTTGTATCTAATGTGAGAGCGAGCAGCGGTCATGTGGGTGTCATGTGCCACAACACAGATATATCCGTGTTTACATGACTTACTTAATTGAACTTACATGTAGGTCGCTTCCTCGAATCCTCGCGTCCATATATGGTTAAAAAAGTGCATAAAATGTATCTTTCACTGGGATCGCGAGCAGCTGCGACCATGTGACATTAGGAGAGCCATTAAGAGAGAAGACTGACTGGTCAGGTGATCTCACGAGGTAATACTGCTATATAAACATAAGAGCAGAGGAGAGAAGCACAGTTTATTGTACTTCCTCTTGTTGATCTTGATCCAACACTTATCTAACCTGCAACATGGATGAGGAGGATGAAGCTGTCCTGGTTGTGGACAATGGGTCTGGTATGGTAAAGGCCGGCTATGCCGGAGATGACGCTCCCCAAGCTGTCTTTCCTTCCATTGTTGGACGATCCAACATGGGACAGAAAGAGTCCTTCGTCGGAGACGAAGCCCAGAGCAAGAGCCGTATCCTCAGCCTGAAGTACCCCATCGAGCATGGAATTGTCACCAACTGGGATGATATGGAGAAGATCTGGCATCACACCTTTTACAACGAGCTGAAGGTTTCCCCAGAGGAACACCCCGTCATTCTGACCGAAGCTCCCATGAACCCCAAAGCCAACAGAGAGAAGATGACCCAGATCATGTTCGAGACCTTCAACACACCCGCCATGTACGTCGCTATCCAGGCTGTCCTGTCCCTGTACGCTTCTGGCCGAGCCACTGGTGTCGTCCTGGATTCTGGAGATGGTGTCTCCCACACAGTTCCAATCTCTGAAGGTTATGCCCTCCCCCACGCCATCCTCCGTATTAATCTTGCTGGACGTGATCTTACCGAATATCTCATGAAGATCCTGGCCGAGAGAGGTTATGCTTTTACCACCACCGCCGAGAGGGAAATCGTCAGGGATATCAAGGAGAAGCTTTGCTACGTCGCCTTAGACTTTGACCAGGAGATGCAGACTGCTGCCAGCTCCAGCTCTCTCGAAAAGTCATACGAACTTCCTGACGGACAGGCCATTACCATTGGAAACGAGCGATTCAGGTGCCCAGAGGCCCTCTTCCAGCCTTCAGTGCTCGGTATGGAGTCTGACGGTATAGACGTGACTTGCTACAACTCTATCATGAAGTGCGATGTTGACATCAGGAAGGATTTGTACGCCAACATTGTCCTCTCCGGAGGAAGCACCATGTTCCCATCAATCGCTGACAGGATGGAGAAGGATATTACTGCCCTGGCTTCACCCACCATGAAGATTAAGATCATTGCACCTCCAGAGAGAAAATACTCCGTCTGGATTGGAGGATCTATCCTTGCTTCTCTGTCCACCTTCCAGGAGATGTGCATCTCCAAGGAGGAGTATGACGAATCTGGACCCGGGATTGTCCACAGGAAATGCACCTAAGTCTAAGGACAGGCCGAATGATTTATTGTACTGTAGTTGGACAGTTTCAGGTTTTTGGAGTGGATGTTTTATTTTTGAGTCTTACATGATTTTTTTCTATCTATTTTGTAATTTTAACGATTGTTTCTAAATGTACTTGCAATAAATGGGTATCTTATTTATTATTGGAATAGCGATATCACCCTGACAATTGACATGGCACATGACTCGACCTCGTGTTGATATTGCCATGCCTACACGTGGTTTACTGGTTTCAGCGGACTAGGATAATAAAATAAAATTATCTTGAAATCACTGGGTAGGGTTCAGATGTCGTTTATAACATATAAAAGGAGGGATTACAATTTTAATATTCCCCTGCGACCTTAACACTTAGAATCCAAAAGTAGGGCTCACAGCTCATTAGAGCTAGTAAATAGCCATGCCCATAGGACAGGTCACATGGCTGGTTGTTTATGCATGTGGGTACTTGTATCTTACCAAAATGCAAAAACCTTGGACTTCTCGGCATATCACTTGACCGTCACATGATGTTATCTCGTGGAGGTATTGTATCAGATCGAGCAGGCACAGGACCGATCTTTTGATCATGAATATGGTGATCTATAGTGATTTTGTGATTTAGTCCATAAATGCCAGGATCTTCCCCTTAACCCTTGTCATACGTTGTATGACCGGCTCCCCCTGTAGCGTCGAAGACGCTTTAGTGAAGCGACCGTGGGGTCACCGTGGGGGCGACCGTGGGGTCACCGTAGGGGCGACCGTGGGGGTCACCACGTGATACAACTTAACCCCTGGTTGGGGGAAACAACTCATGTCCATTTTAGAATTAATAGAGATAGTACGTGTTGGTACTTTTTTGGCTGGCTGGGTTTCAGCATTCAAGACTGCTGGATTAACCTTTTGTTTCGTCTAGAAACTCATATAGCGTTTTATTTTTGTTTTTCTTAACCTTGACGATATACATGATACACAATACTGGCTAACAGTCTCCACGACGTTCGAAAACCTGATTAACGCTATGTACCGGGCCTTCACCTAGTATAGCCATGAGTCTACGTGACGCGCTTGTTTCACAAGTAGAACTAAAATGTTTTGTGCCTCCTACCGCCTACGGCGGTCGCGCGCTACTGCAAGTGAGATCAGAGGGCTTTGGATAGAGCAATACCGGGCCGTGTAACCATATTTATATTGAAGTAAATTCATTCGAATATTCTAAAATTTACAATTAGAACTTAATATATTAATACAGATATTAAAAATTCCCAATTATCGGGAATTAAGAAAATTGAGAAAATTTCCAAGTCGGGAATTTAAACTTTTTTGTCATACGTTGTATATAACCCGCCGAGCACGATTGCGCGGCTACCCCTGTATCGTAAAAACTTTGTAGCGCTATGCACTACTGGGCCGCGCCGCCGCGCATCTTCTCGCAACCGTATGCAGATCGGCGAAATTAGAGATGCGAAGGATTGACATCTGACACCGTGAATCAATAAAAACTCTACATAGTGAAACGACCGTCGCGTGGGGGTTACGTAATCATCCCAGTATTCGGGAATCCCGATGTCGGCATTAACTTCAATAACAGTGATATCAAGCATCAAGTGACACTGCCGAACAATAATCGGGTGATGCCTTACTGGGCCGCGCTCAGCCTGTCATTCCGTCTAATCTCTATTGTTTACCAACATTAAAGCCTGGGGTCCTCATATCAGGTAAGTGATGCCTTGTCATACGTTGTATGACCCGCCGCGCACGAGTGCGCGGCTCCCCTGTATCGTCAGGACCATAGTGAAACGGCCGTGGGGGTCGCAACGTGATATAAGTGATGCCAGTATTGGAGAAAAATAAACAAATGAAACAAATATAAATTATACACTTATACGACCACGCACTCGTGCGCAGCGGGTAAGGCCCACGGCTGGCCGGCTGGGCTTACATAAAATTTTTACATTTTGTGCTGATCACGTATTATGGGCCCTACCCGGCCGGGCCCGGGTAGTATAGGGCACATAACGTGAGGCAAAATGAAA